ACACTCGACACGTTCACTACACGACCTGTAATCGCAAACATAAAACTCCTTTATTTTAGGCAAAAGTATTCAACAGTTGATTAATATTTATACCTCTGGATCTCCTAATGAGTGGAAGGAATTGTCTTAAGACACGAATATAACCCAAAACATTGATCTGAATGATTGTCTCCAAGTCTCGCATAACTCCCCACTCGAGTTCACGCGTTGGCATTTAGGGCCGCAATAAGTGTTGTGTGGTATTGAAACAAACAGACCAAACCGTGAGTAAGTGTTGATTAAGTATTCGCAAACTTTGTACCCAAAGTAAGTTATGTAAGTAAAGTTACCAAGTGATTCCGTTCGCTCGCAGATCGACGGCTCCGTCGCTACGAGCGTCGAGAACTGCGGCCAAAACGTGCCAACCCTTGGCCTCCAATTGAAGAGCAGTGGCGTAACCAAAGCCAGAGTCGCATCCAGTAATGAGGACTGAACGACCTCTCGCTTTAAGGCAATCCTTTGGCCACAAATAGGCACTCAATATATTTGCTGTTTTCCAACTCATATAACATACAAGTATTGAGACACTAATCACTTGATACACAGTGACTACAATTGGCACCAAAAGTGTTAACAAATACAATATATTACAAAATATAAATAAAATGAGTAGAAAATAAGTCATGTTTGATGTCTCAAAACATATATGTATATATATGAAATTAAAATTGAGATTAAATTTTAGGCAAACGTTTGCTGACATATATTCTTCCCGTTTCTTGAATTAACAAGTTTTACAAGTTTTTGGGTTTATATTTAGAGCTCAATTAGTTATCTATTAATATACTATACAACCCATGTTTTCTTCGTGTAATTAGTAATCACTGATCAGTATTTTGTGCCTAAATATTAATATTAATAGTAAATAAGGTTAAAATTAGTGTTTAAATAGGTTTGACAATTGGATTGCAGGTTTGTCAGTATTTTATTGGAAGTTTGCTTTATAAAAGTTAATTAATTGTTTTATTTTGTAGTTCTGGTATTTTTAATATAAAATACATTTTATTTAGTGATCACATGTTAAAATCAAACTTCGGAAGGCATAATAGTTGCACGAACCTACTAAACAAACTTGTTCATTCTGAATTGTGATTTAAATTACTTTCCCGGTTATCATAAAGTTTGCAAAGTATTTGTGACTTATTTTCAACAAATTGAATATAAATAACGTTTCGATACATTTCTACCAAATAAAGTGAATACAAAGTCTAATGTTTACATACTTTTAAGAAAATAGTGATTTAACTGTAATTTAATTTATTTAATAAATTTTATGCATTATAGCCAAAGGTATATGACTGTAATACATTTCTACCAAATAAAGTGAATACAAAGTCTAATGTTTACATACTTTTAAGAAAATAGTGATTTAACTGTAATTTAATTTATTTAATAAATTTTATGCATTATAGCCAAAGGTATATGACTGTAAAGTTATTTTGTATAGTAATTTGTGTTAATTTATGTAATGTATGTTAATATAAATGCATGCAGCATGGTAAATTAAAATTAAAAACTATTTGTAAATAATTAAAATGCTTGACATTGATTAGTTTTCAAATGAGAAATTTTACCATGATTTAATTGTTAAAATACTGTTACACTAACTTAAGATCTTTAGTAAAAATATTTTAGCCAGTTATTTTATAATTGAATTAATTTTAGTTAATTGAGTGTTTGTTTAGTATATTTAGTGGTAATCATACAAAATATTAATTATGTTGACTACTGTATAAGTTATAACTTATAACCATTGTGGTTAAACCAATAATTTAGTACATATTGAAGGCCATTACATTTGAACATTCTTATCAAGATCTTATGCTTTCGGAGAGTACAATATTTAGAGTACTTTCAGTGCAATTATGCTTAAAATCTTGACATTTTGAACGCATAATCATTATTGTGAGCATAATATATAACTGTAAGAAACAATTGATTCAAATTCTAGTAATTGTCAATTATTACTAATTAAACAGTTTTTTTAAACTAATTGTTGGGATATTTGATGAAACGATAGGAATATACTAAACAAGTGGTAGCGATGAAGACACCGGCCTTTTTGTTCCCTTTCGGCACATTTAGAGGCTATTTGTTTAGTTACGGAATGGCCGGACTCTATGGAGGACTCACTGCCTTCGGAACTGTTATGCAGATAATACTCAAGAGGAAGACATTCTTCACAATAAAGCCACGACCGACTCCTCCGGCGTGTCTTCTCGACAGTGCGTTAGGCGAACACCGCTTCGTTCAGACAAAGGTATGATTTGATTAATTATGCAGATAATACTCAAGAGGAAGACATTCTTCACAATAAAGCCACGACCGACTCCTCCGGCGTGTCTTCTCGACAGTGCGTTAGGCGAACACCGCTTCGTTCAGACAAAGGTATGATTTGATTAATATATCGCAAGCGTTGACCACATTTAATATTAACGTTTATATTCACAGAATGTAAAACTGCATTACGTCTGTAAGGGTGACCCACAGAAGCCGTTAATGCTATTCCTTCACGGATTCCCTGAAGTTTGGTATTCATGGAGAAAACAATTGCCAGAATTTTCTAAAAATTATTATACGGTTGCACTCAGTTTGAGGGGTTATGGAGATTCTGACAAACCCGACGGTATGATCATTAGTATAAATGTATGGTTCAGATAATAAATGCTTAAATTATGATGAAATGAAACCTAAAAGGTGTGGCAAACTATGCGGTCGACAAACTGGTGGACGACGTGAGAGATGTTGTGCACGCGTTGGGCAAAGAGAAGTGCATTCTTGTGTCGCACGATTGGGGCGGACTCGTCGGCTGGACTACAGCCGCTCAATATCCCGAACTCGTCGACAAGTTTATTGTATGCAATGCACCGCAAATCAAACATTTTATGAACGCTATTGAGTCTAATTGGAAACAATTTTTTGCATCATGGTATTTGCTTATCTATTTAGCTATAATTAATCATTAATATTAGTGACGATGATTATATTGATGTATGAATTGTCTCATATGAAGGTATATCTACTTTTTCAACCTGCCATTCCTGCCTGAGTTGCGATTCCGATGCAATGACTTACAAGTGTTTGACTATATATTCAAAAAGCTGGGCACTAAAGAGGACGTCGAGGCGTATAAATACTATTTCTGTAGACCGGGTGCTCTCACGGCTCCCATTAACTACTATCGGGCTCTACAGCGTTGTTATGGCGCCGACTATTTGGACAAAATCAAGAATAAAAGGATTACTTCTCCGACACTTGTGTTGTGGGGAAGGGATGACATCGCACTCACCGAAGGACTCGCGGCCGACAGTTGCAAATCATGCGACAACTATACCATCAAAATGATCGACAATTGCTCTCATTGGACACCTTTTGACAAACCAGATATCGTTAACAAATACATCCATGAATTCTTGGATAAAACCAAATAATCCAATCTATGATAACACATATTTTACAGGATTTATAAATAAACTTTAATTTAAAATTTCTACAATTATCACGATTTATAGTTTATAACATATTATGTTGGACTAATTTTTTTAAATAAACGTATGTTTGAGAAGTAAATGTATTGTAATTATTGAAAGGGTTAAGATTAAGAAAGACCATAATAAACAATGCATTACAAATGGACAGCCGATGATAAACTTAATGAAAAAGGTCTAAATCGTCAATAGGGTTGGGCGGCATCAATGGGAGACCCGATTGGAAAAATTAATCCCATTTTTATAGTCAATTGATTGACAAAATATGTATTTATTGTATTGTAAAATAATAATAAATTATAAAAGAAATTTATTGACTAATGTTGGCTAATTCAAGTTAACATTAGCCAATAAGTCGTCAAATATTTATTTAAATTCTCAATTACTAACTAATTTGTAATTTATATAAATTTTATAATTTTATACATTTAAAATATGTATTTTGATTATTTGATTTCGCGGGCATTGCAATGAATTTTCACACCGTATGCTTTCCAATATTTGGGAAATTTGTTCAAGGTAACTTTTTTATAAGAAATAATTATTGGATTCAAACGAAATTTTGTGGGATAAATGAGTATTTATTTGTGCTTAATTTTATGTAATAATATAATTTTTATATCTATTGGTTGAGAAATGCTGGACATCTTAAGACAATGATGATTAAATTCGCTTCGGCACTTTTTAAATCCATCACTTAATTCTTATTATTTAAATTTAACCAAGATCAAATGACGGGTTCACTTATTTGATTGATATTTTAAATTGAATACTTTACATTTAATTTTGATGTTATTTTAATATTTTTACAATCCAATGTAATATTCAAAAAACTTAGAATATATAAAGTACTTTACTTTTGAGATATAAAATTGAGATATATAACTTTACTTTAGATGGAATAAATAATATCCTTCGATATATTCCTGAGTTCTTTATTAGGAACATATAATTAAACAATTATTGAATTCTAAGTATATATTTAAACTCAAAATGCATTGTAATTATCGACAGGAATATAAATTAAATTTATATTGAATTGATTTGAAGTAAAAAACAGATATAATACAAACATTTCAAGGTTTTGAACGTTTTGTAAAGTAATGGAAAGTTTAATATAAAGTAAAACTTAAACACAATCTATAACTAAAATTGAAAATCTTCTATAAATAAATAACTTTTAAATATAGTTTAAGATAAATAGGTATTTAAAATATTGGTAAATAAATATATCATGATTTCAAGGCTCGTGGAGAGGAAGTCATAATTTATAAGCAAACAAATTATTAATGTTAATTAGAAGCTTATGTTTTGCACACATTTTGTTATCAAAAAATGGGAATTTTATTTATTAAAAACATTTAAAGTTATTTTATGATTCATGAATCAAACAATGATAAACAAGATACATTAAAAATCACAATTAGTTTACAAAATGTAAATCCTGTATCAATTACAAAGTTGTTTTCCTCAATCCTATGCAAACATTAAGTGGTTTTCCAAAGTTTATATAATATTTTTTGTTGCTCTGATCACTGATACTGTATTTCCTAATAAGTCACTCTCTAATTGTAATTTATGTTGTGTTAGATATTAAGTATAATTATTATACATTACATATAATTACA